CTTTAACTCCAGTCTTCCTTTACAACCAGATGAAGCCTTTGGCTACAGGTGAAGAAGCTCACACATTGGGGTCCCATGCAATGCTGGGACAGAGAAGGATCCCCAATCTCTAATGTACAGCTCTGCAAAATGCCTCTCCTTGCCCCTGGCATAGTGGAGTCTTCGATTCCCATCTCTCTGCACTGTGTCTAGTCTGTGCTAATCTGACAGTGTGAGCGGCACCGCGCAGCCTTGATGGATTTCAGAGCAAAAATAGCCGTTTGCAACCTGAACACAAAGGAGTTATTGCTCTCAGAAAGATCGGAGACTCCTCGTGCTGGCTATAAGAAATAGGCTTTTGTTATTTAAAAATGGGTAAATATAAATGAGGCCACTGGACTGTGGTCCCTTCTTTGGTCTCTGCTTAGTCCCATCCTGATCAGCAAACCTCAGAGGAACAGAGAAAAGCAGCTGTTAAACAAAGCAGCAGAAAACAAACCCTTCCCGCAAGAAACGCCATCCAGTTTTAACCCTCTGGTTTTCCCTGAATTTCAGATGTTTCCTATTTGCTCAGCCAGGAGTAATTGGTCCCACCTGTGGAGACTCTCAAGCATGTTCCCCATCTTTTTCACAGCACCCCCTCCGACTGTCCCTGAAGTAGGAGAAGCTCCATGGGGACAGAATTCTGCGCTGAGAGCCTGCTAGTGAGCTAAAGGCTACAAGGGAGCATGTGGATGGCATCAGATCCCTCCCATAACCTGTAGGAAGGAGGGAGTTGAATGCTTGGGCTCCTGGGAGACAAAGGGGAGTAGGATCAGCGATCAGGCTCTGCAGCACGCCCAGAATTTGCCTAGCTCTGTGCCTAGGATGTTTAAGGGAGAGAAGAGAGGACATTTCAAGCCTGTGTACTAATGAGATAGCTGTGATTGTTCACTCATCCTTGTGCTCAAATTGCAACTTCCCAAGAGATCCCAGAGGGAGGCTATCCTAGCTCTGACTTGCAGCAAGCTCTTCCTCTGACCGTTTGCCATTAAAATGACGGGTCTGCTGTACCTGCTTCCAGACACACCCATGAGTGTGAAGTAAACAAGGCCAGCGTTTCTGGGCCTCCCTCTCATGCGCACACCACAGTCACACTAGTGGAAAAAAAGATTCATTGGTGTTCAGGGCTGTTTCTCTGTACTGAACCCAGCTGCTCATGAGATTTCGTATCAGGACAAACCCGTGAGCCCACTCCCCACCTCATATCTTCAGAAACCATGAAAGTGCATTAAATAGGATGTCCTGGTGAGCAATTTACAAGGTGGCTGGTAAAAGCCACAGATCAGCTTTGCAGAGAATTTATTTCCAAGTAAGTTGATACCAGAGTTGTTTATTGAAGTGTTATTCGTGCCAACAACTTAATACCAGAGCCAGTGTTTGATAATCCAGTGAGAAATCGGTGCTCAAAAGTGTGAATTAAATAGTTCTTGCAGGACGCCTCTTGGCAATTTTTGGATTTTGCCTGGCACGTTGATTCCACGCATAAGTCTAAAATGTCCCCAGTTCTTACCAGCTGCCTGTACCACGTGGCTGCTCCTTGTTTATCGGGAACGTAGCATTGGAGACGAGCCTGGTGCTGAGATCTTTCAAAACATCGGAGTTTCCCCTAAGATAAGAGAGCAACTTCAAGCTTAATAATTGAGGTTTTGACCTGAATGTCTGCTATTTCTTATCTGTTAGCAATTTTTGCTTCAGAGAGTAACCAAAGATAACCTTAGTAGCATAAGGGAGGCTTACAGAGCAAAGAAGGAGACGCAGTTATTGCAACATACTCTTCCCAGAACTGCCCTTTCGTTGGCCAATACCCTCAGACTTATGTCAGTTTCCTTCATGATCGCTTCCTGGGCTTGTTATTTTTGTCCTCTTCTGACACAGGCTTTATATGTGATGAGAAATACCAGGGAATTCAAGCCAGGCCAGTGAACAAGGGAAGGCCCGTTAGCTGTGGCTGAGCAGATGAGAAGTGATGGCCGGCTGCGTGCGAAGGACCTGGCTGGGCTGCCCTTGCGGTGTTGTTTGGAAGGATTTTCTAATTGGTGTGGAGTCAATCAGCTCACCTGGCCACACAGACCCTCTTACTGAGCTTTAGCAGTTACCCTTAAAAGTTCTCATTCACAGCCACCCGACCGACGACTCCTATGTTTCAGGAGAACCCTAAGAAGAGCTGTTTGTTAATATAAGAGTGCAAAGTCGTGAAGGTTTGGGATGGTTCTTGTGCAAATCCGTGAAGGTTTGGGATGGTTCTTGTTGGTCAGCCGTGGGGATGTGGTTTTTCATTGGTGGGTTCTTTCTGCTTAAGGTTTTAAAAACAAGATCCTTATTCCTGAGTGGGAAAGAGTCATGTTCCTGGAAGGAAGAAGTGGAGGGGCAGTGTCTCAGTCCGTTCTGGTGCCGTAACCAAATGCCCTAACTTGGCAGCTTCTAAACGGCAGACATGTACCTCCCCCAGTTCTGAAACCTGAAAGTCTGAAAGGAGGGTGCTGCAGACCCAGTGTCCGGG